GTTTTCCAGCAAAGCTCGAGCAAGTTTGCTGGGCAGGAGCCAAGGAGAGCTGCTACAGCTGATCTGCTTCTGGGCTGCTATGCAGAAGCGCGGATCAGCTTTAGAGGCTCGCCCCGATCCTGGACAAGAGGGAAGGAAGGAAGGACGGAAGGGACAAGGGGAAAGAGGGAGGGAAGGAGGGACAAAGAGGGAGGCGAAGGAAAGGAAGGAAGGAAGGAAGGAAGGGACAATGGGAGAGGGAGGGAAGGAGGAAGAGACCAAGAGGAAGGGAAGGAAAGGAAGTTCCAGCCAGCAGAGGCTTGGCAGCCCAGCTGCCGAGGAACAGAAGAGCGCAAAGCGAAGGAGAAGAAGGTGGCGGTTTCCTCCCAAAGGGGGCTCCTTTTCTCCACCCCTTCCCTGGGTTTGTGGGGAATTTCTCGTCATCAAATCTGACAGGTGGTCCTTTGAGCCCACCATGAGCTTTCTCGCCCCCTTTGCTTCTCTCTCCCCCCCCCCCGCTTTCGTGAGGATTGTGGCGCCCTTGGGAAGCCAATCGTGCTTTAAAGCTTAGGAGAGGAGGAGGAGTCCCTTCCTCCTTCCCTCCCTCTCTCCCTGTCAAGCCCCGGCGGGCTCGACATGAATGGGTGGAGGAGGAGTCGAGGATGGGCGGGGTGGCAAAGGAGACCGGCGGCCGTCGCCAGACCTCCTGGCTGACAAGCGCAAGTTCGGGGGTCGCCAGCTGATGGGCGCAGGAATTGGGTGCTGCGGCGGCCTCCCCTTCACTGACCTGCGTGCACGAGAAGAAGTCAATCCGGTTGCTGCACAATGAGTCTCTGGGGAGGGCGGGGCCTTGCTCTGTGCCTGCGTTCTTCATGCGCCCCCTGCAGGGCACATTTGGTAGAGTTTGTGCAGACTGCCACCAAGCAGCATATTTTCCACAAACAAATGAGGTGGAGCGGAGGGGGGGAGGGAGGCACAGCCGCGGGGGGGGGGAGAGAAGGCGGTTGACAAGCCCTGCCTAAGACCATCGGAAATATGTGTTTTCCGATGGTCTTAGGCGACCCCTGTGAAAGGCTCGTGCGACCCCCAAAAGGGTCGCGACCCACAGGTTGAGAACCGCTGGTTTAGGTAGTCTTCCATTTCACTTGCACAAGCATGTTTTGAAATGTCACACACTGCACCCTAAATTGCTTCGGATCCCCTGCTGGGTCTTTCAGAATTACAATGGCACTGAAAAATGTGACTTCTGACTGTTGCAGCATCCTGATGGCCATACGATCAACATTCGAACTCTTGGCAACTGGCATGTACTTATGACAGTTGCAGCATCCTGGGGTCACATGATCGCCTTTTGCCACCTTCTGACAAGCAAAGTCAATGGCGAAGCCAGATTCACTTAACAGCCATGTTAGTAACTTAACAACTGCAGTAATTTATTTAACAATTGTAGCAAGAAAGGTCATAAAATGGGACAAAACTCACTTAACAACCATCTTGCTTAGCAACAGAAATTTGGGGCTCAATTGTGGTCGTAAGTCGAGGACTACCTGTATTTGAGGTAGTTCTGTGTCTGTGTTGTTTTTAATCTTGATAGCTTTTTTGTTATTGTAGGTTAGCAGGAAAACTCCCCCCCCCCAGAATCCTAATCTTTAAAATAAAGGTTGGGAACAAAATAATGCCAATAGGGATCAAAAGGGAAAACAGAGTTTGCCAAGAATTTCTTAAGGAGTAAAAAGTTATACTGTTACCACCTGTAAGGATTTAAACCAAAGTGATCTATTTTTTTTAATTTTTCCTTTTAATGAGACTTGAATACAAGCTCACAGACACTGAGTCTGCCCTTTGATTTTACAGTAGTAAAAGTTGTGATTCTAACTGTGCCTCAGTTGCTGGGCTGTGGGCACCCTGGTCTTTCTGCGCCAGCTGCATCCCTCTGGGTGGCATTTTTCTTTTCCCATGGTGGGCCTAAGCAGAGAACAATGTGCATCTCTTGCAAAACCGAGGGGGCGGCTGCAGTTGGCATCCCAACCCTCCGGAGAGGAATGCAGAACGGATGGGTCAGGCAGATGGTCAAAGCAAACAGCCACAGGCATGGACAATCTGTACCCCACCCCTTCACTCCTCTCTCAAACCAGGAAGCTGCATTTAGATCAGCGCTTCTCAATCGCAACAGCTTTAAGATGTGTGGACTTCAACTCCCAGAATTCCCCAGCCAGCCAGCTATGCTAAACTAAGCTATGCTGGCTGGCGAGTTCTGGGAGTTGAAGTCCACACAATTTAAAATTGCTGAGATTGAGAAACACAGATGTAGATTATTTGGACACCTTTGGATGCCTCAGATCCTAGGAAGGAGAGGGGGAAAAGGACCCTGAGCTGAGGATCCTCTGTCAATGTCTTCTTCTGCCAAAAGTTAAAAAAATCTGGTTTATTTCTGGTACCTTGGACACACCCACCCTACTTTCTCGGCAGTAAAAGAGAAGCAGTTTGCCAGACTTCTGCAAAGCTTTTTTTCCCCTCTTCCCAGGCTAGTCTTGGAATTTCCTTGTGGTCCCCCATCCATCAGCTCCAATTCCACTGAACTGTTTGGAGATCAGCCAAGGTGCTGTCCCCACCTGGGGCTCTTTTCTGCCAAAGGTTGCTCCAAATCCAGCCAACATCAGCCACCCACCCATTTGGAAGCTACGACCCACAGTTTCCCGGTTGAGGTGCTACAAAGGAAATTGCTGTGCCCAGCGCAGCTGTTAAAAGGCGAAACCTCGTCCAGAGCCACGTATTTGGATGCAGCAAAATAGACACACCCTGAAATGTATTTTTTTCCCTTTTATTAATGCGTGCCACCTTCCGCTGGGTCGCGTCCCCTCCCTTCCTTTCCAAATGACTTTTTAATTTTTTTCCCCTTTGCCTCATTTCCCCAGATCGTTACTCTTTATTTTTCACTAGCTGTACCCAGCCACGCGTTGCTGTGGCTCAGTCTGGTTAAATGGAAAAGAAAGAAAAGAGAAAGTGCACGTTTGTAATATATCATGTTTTTACCTGTCACAGGTGTGATATTTATATAATAGTAGGTATATAAAAACACGCGCGTATTCGAATGCAACGTTGTGTCAAAATTTCAAAGCAATCGGTAAAGAACTTTCGGAGATTTAAGACTTTGAACAAACGAACATTTACATTTTTATTTATATAGATAAAGCTTTCTTCCCTATATCGACCCTGCTCGGAAACCCACCCATCTCCACGAAACCCGCCCATCTCTTCTCCGGATCCTCGCTGAGCGGGGGGGGGGGAGAGAGGGGGGAGGAAATAAATCCTGGTTTTGTCCCTGGGACCCAGGGAGGCCAACCTTGGCGGCCCTTTTTCCGGCTGCTGCCATCCTTAAGCAGGCAGCCTCCAGATGCGTGCGATTCCCATTCCCTGCAGGCCGGGGAGGATAGTCATTGTAGTCCCCTTCGTCTATGGGCGCCAGGTTGGGGCCCGCTACCGCATGCAGGCGTTTTAACCCTCGAAGAGGGAGGTCCGACTGGACTGCTCAGGCTGCACGTCTGAATAAATAAATCTTGTATCAATTAATTAAAGAAAAAAAATGGTCTGCATCTTTAACCTGGAGGACCCCGCGCGCGGTCATACTCACTCCTCCCCGCAAGGGGGCGGGCCCCGCGACTCCTCCAAGCCCCGCCCCCTCTTTATTCCCCCTTCTCGCGGCCCCGCCCAGCCCTCGGCCGCGGTCGCTAAGCGCCGCCCATTATACGACAGGCGCCGCCCATTACAAGGCGGGCTCCGCCCCTCGCTCTGCCTCCGCCTGGTTCGAATGCTACTCTGCAGTTCCAGCGGGGAAGCCGCGGCCGTCAGAGGAAAGAGGCAGGAAGCCGCGGGCTGCGGGGACCTGTCGATCATCTGATCCCAGCCAGAGCAGCGTCCGGCAGGGGACGAGGAGGGAAGGCAGCCGTCGCCGCCGCCGCCGCCGCCCGCGGGAGACCCGCCTAGCCTGGCAGCTGATTCAGCGTTGCGCTCCTTGGCTCCCGTCGCAATGCCTCCTGCAGGCCGCCTTGCGCCCGGCTCTCCTCGTCTCCTTCATTGATTCTTGCACAGCGGCGTCTTTCCTGCTCCCTCCCTTTGGCCTTTTCCTCTCCTGGCTTCTTTTCTTGGAAAAAAGAGAAGGCCGGGTACTTGAGGAAACTTTGCGACCTTTCCTCTTGGCCAAACCCTTCTAGGGAAACTCCCAACCTGCTTCCTTCCAACCTCGAGTGAGTGTTCTGATTTTTTCCCCCGTTTCTCCTTTTTTTAAAAAGCCCGATCGGATCATCATCTTCATCATGGCAAGTGGTTTTCTCTGATGCTACTACACTCCTTTCGATACTGTGCATTTGTTTTCTGGAGCCAGGCAGATCTTTTTGGAATGGAGATCTAAATTCTCACCTCCTTGCTATCCCTTTTCTGGATATCCTTTAAACAATAACTACCTTTGTGTCCTGCTTTCGTTTTTAACAGTCAGAATTATTGCTTAAGGGAGTTGAATCTTGTTCTCTTTTAAAAGCTGGGATTAAAAGACAGAAGAAGAAAGAAGAAGAAACATGTTTCTTCCTCTCCCTGCCTTTTTCTCTTTTTTTGTTCTCAGTTACAATATTTTGGCTTTTTGGTAAGCCAGGAATTTGGGAAAAATCCTCCCTCTCAATTGGCTCAGAAACATTTAACCATTTCTGTCTGTTTCCCTTCCCATGACAAGCGAAGCCAAGATTTTAGTAAACCGTGATTCCAGTATTGGAGGACAAAACTCCAGAACAATCAACACACATCCTACAGTTGTTTGGCAGAAGACGAAAGTGCTTTTGGACACACAAACTGGGCTGTGTTCTTCTGTCATTTGACCTCAAGGGAAGGAAAACATTTGGAAGAAAAAAAGTTTTGACATTTTCCCAGCTGAGGCTAAGTTACAAACATTTCCATGTTCTTTATGGTAACTCTTTGGAGGAAAAGACAGTGAATCCTTGTGGATTGACTCAGTTCCCCTTCTTGGAAATTGTTGGCAATCTTTGGACCCTGTTCAGCCTTGGGAAGCTGTGATGGGGCTGTGAGGCCAAACTGATTTCCCACTGGATCCTGTGGGAGTTGAGGAAAAGGATCCTGAGGGGCTGAGAGAAAAAGCCCTCCAGGGAGGAACTGAGTGTGATATAAAAGCGGTGACGGAAGCTGACCCAGCACTGTGAATGGCTGCCAAGGATTATGACCACTTGTTTAAATTGCTTATCATCGGAGATTCGGGTAAGAATGCTTGTTTTTTCATTGTCATCCATCTTCAATCTTATCTAACTCTGTCCTTCTGTATTTGTTAGATTTTTTTATCCTGCCTTTACTACTTTATAAGTAACTCAAGGCAGAGAACATACATAATGCAGGTAGTCCTTGACTTACAACAGTTCGTTTAGTGACAGTCCAAAGTTACAACAGCACTGAAAAAAGTGGCATGACCGCTTTTCACACTTATGACCACTGCAGCATCCTCATGGTCATGTGATCAAAATTGATTCATATCTATGACTGTTCCACTGTCCTGGGGTCATGTGATCCCCTTTTGTGACCTTTTGAGAAGCAGAGTCAATGGGGAAGTCAGATTCACTTAACAACTTAACAACTGCAGTGATTCACTTAACAACTGTGGCAAGAAAGGTAGTAAGATGGGGCAACTTAAATGAATGTTTTACTTAGCAACAGAAATTTTGGGCTCAATTGTGGTTGTAAGTCGAGAAATACCTGTTCTCTTTTTTCCTCCTGTTTTCCCCACAACAACAACCCTGTGAAGTAGGCTGGGCTGAGAGAAAATGATTGGCCCAAAGTCACCTTAGTCGAGTGCCCGAGGCAGGACTAGAACTCACATTCTCCTGATTTCTAGGCCAGTATCTTAACCACTATACTAAACTGCCTCTTGCTGGTTCCCTCCCCCCTCCAAACATTATTTCAACCGTTTTGCTGTCTTTTTTGCACATTTTCAGATCTTCCTACCACTTTTCATGCTAGACTTATCTGTTACTCTTTTGCCATTTTCATTCTGAACACTTAGCCTGGTTCTTTCCAATTTTTCTGCCTTCGTAGACTTTTATGTCAATCTTCCATTTTCTTCCTCCAGTTCATTGTGAGCACTTGGGATGGGCTGAATGCGTCCCTCCCTCCATATATAATCTCCTTCTTACCTGTACTTTATTTTTGTTCTTTTGTTCTTCCCCACCCTTTCTGCCTTGCTTTCATTTCTGCAAATATCTCTGGGCAGAATAAAGATCCACACAACTCTGAGGGGAAATCATTGGACCAATGATTTACTCCTTAATTCTACCTCTCTTCTTGTTCTTCACTACTTCTCCAGCACTGGAGATGGAGGATCCACCCATGGGTTATGACTGTATTCCTGCCCAATCAGATCAAGGCAGCCAAAGTTGTCACGCCCGTCCTGGACCGTAGAGATCCCAGATTTTGGCTTGATCTCGCCCAGGACAGACGTGAAAACTTGGCTCTTAGGCAGGTATAGTCTTCCATTGGGGGATCGTCCATTTTATACCTTTCTAGCTGGGATTTTACTCCTAATTTAATTCAATTTAATTTAATTTAATCCTACAGGAGAAATTTAATTGATGGGGGGGGATATTCTTGAAGGGGCTCCTTCTTCCTCTCCCCTCTAAAGCATTAACTTCAGACCGGCAAGACAAAGAAAGTTCCTTTGTGCCGGCTGCTTCTGAGGACTAACGGCTGTTAGTCCTCCGAACTTTAAAATTTAAAGGGCAATCTCCTCTCCACCGGAGCCTGCGGAGACAGCTCCGAGGGGAGCCAGAGCAAAGGGACGATTTCCTTTGTATCCAAAAGAATTCAAAACCCCAGGATTTCCAGAACTAACCGGAGTCCCCTCCAGTATCTTTGAAATCTTTATTCCTCGGTCGGGGAATCGCCGATCTGAGAGCGCGCGCGCTTCCCCCGCTCAGCGCCGATCAGCTGCTCAGCAGCTGACCGGCAAATCAAGCTCTGCGGCGGGAAATTTAAGGTCCGTACTTGTTGTTTCCTTGCTTTCTCCTTCGGAGTCACCTCTTGTCTTTGTTAGCACGATCGCCATCTTGGACAACGTGGTCCCCGGATCGGACCTTTACCTAATCAAATCTGATTACTTGTAATCAATTGTTTAAATTATCTGGAACAATTCTTTTATTAATTTGGAAATTGATTAATTTTAAATTAAGTAGGTAATCAGTTTGGAACGGATTACCAGTTCGGAAACTGATTACCATCTATCAATTGAATAATAATTAAATGATTATTTTTAATTAATTAAGTGATATGGTATAATAATTAAATTATTATTTTTAATTAAATAGTGATTAGAATCTCAATCACCCGATCAAGGGGGTGATTTATTGGGAATTTATTTCTTGTGTATTTGAATTAATTTATTACTTAATTAATTGAATTAATAATCAATTGATAATTAAACTAAATTAACTAAATTAAGCAAATTAGTTAAGTTGATTAATAATTGATGATTGAGTAATTATACTAATAATTAACTGGAACACTGAGACTCCCTTTACCTAGGTCTGGTGTCTCTCCAGGAATTTTCTAATCAGACCTATCCAAATTGGATGAAGACAAGGAGTGACAACTGGTGATCAGCGCTCATCTGGATACCAGACGCCCCTGTAGTGCGCCTGCCATCGTCCAGAACAAAACCAGCCGGATTCCAGACGCCCCCTGTTGAGTGTCTGTCCTTATCCGTGCCAAAATATAGTGGATTGCAGACGTACCTATTAGCACGCCTGTCCTCATCCACGCAACAGCCTCACCTGGGTTACGGACGCACCCTTAGCGCGCCTGTTCCTACCCAGAGTGCATTTTCTCCGGATACCAGGAGCTCCCTTTCGTGTTCTTGTGCCATTGGAGTATGGGCGATTCGGGCCCTGCAGCTAAGAGCGCTCTGCCATCCTCATTAGGACTACCTGGTCTGGAGGGCGCGGAGAAAACGACGACCAGAACCAAGGTAAGATCTACCAACAAAAGCTCAAAAAGAGCAGACAAACAGACTGAGTGGAGACACCAGGCCTTGGAAAGGGAGTTTTCCAAGGCGCAGAAAAGGGCCAGGCTGGAAACAGCTCAGTCCCAGGAGTTAGACCTGGAATTGCCCCTAGGAGCCCCATCTCCCTTGGGTATCTGGTCAGCGGGGGAATCCTCACATTCCACCGCACAGTACGGATCAAGCGAGTGTCCGTCCATCCTTCAATCCATTTCTACAAGCGTTCCTCAAGGAACTCCCAAAGCCACCTTTACTCCTACGGCTGCAGGCTTGCAGCCAAGCGAGACGGGGTACCTTCCAAATGAGGACCGCCTTGCCCTCTTAATTTCTCAGGCAGTTGATAGAGCCCTTGATGCCAGGATCCTGACTCCCAAGCCAGTAAACGCAGTTTCTCGCCACACACCACATCTGACCAAGGGCTACGACAACCCTCCCTCCCCAGGTGGGTCATCAGTCTCTGAGACTTCCTACCTTACTCAGGTCGAGACCGAACACGAAGTTCCAATGTCCGAGGAGGAGGAACTTCCCCCAGAGGCACCCTCCTTTAGTGGGCTCTTCAATCCATCCTTCTTTGTCACCTTACTCCGCAAGGCCACATCCACAGCTCACCTCGGGTCTCAATCCTCCTCAACCAACGTCCCAGCTGACCCGGACGCGGCGGCAGACCCATGTTTCGTTGAAACTGTAGCAACTCAACATCACATCCCCTGTCCCTCACTGTTCTTGAGGACAATTCGCAGACAGTGGGCATCTCCGGCCTCCCTCCCTCTCCCGAGTAACACTGACAAAAAATTGTACAGTGTTGCCAGGGAGTTGGAAGAGACCTTGGAGGTACCGTCCATAGACGAACCATTGGGGCCCCTAGTATCGCCCACGGCTATCTCGGGGGATCCTTCGGAGGCCCTCAAGAATGAAGATCGTAAATGCGAATACACCTTTCGCAGAACACACCAATCATCTGCTTGGGCGATCAGGGCCGCAACCTCCGCCTCATTCTTCAATAGGTCCGCCCTTCGCTGGCTGCGACAGCTTCAAGCCCGGATCCCAATAGAGGATACCCGCACGCACCAGGACCTTAGCAAAATGGTGGCAGCCACCGAGTATGCCTCGGACGCAACTTTCCAGGCTGCCAGGTTCTCATCCAGGGCTATGGCGTCCAACATTACAGGCCGCCGTATGTTGTGGTTGAAAAACTGGCAAGCCGATGCTAAAACCAAGTGGAAGCTGGCAGCAGCTCCATATCAGGGAGGTAGATTGTTTGGCGATGCCCTGAACCCCTACCTCACAGAGAACAAGGACAAACGTAAGATACTCAAACATGTCCTCAAAAGGCCGGACAAACATCCCACCTATTACTCCCAGTGACAAGCCTTTCGTACAACCAGATACAACTATACACAATCCTTTCAACCGTCTCCAGCCAGACAGGATAGACAGGACAGACAGCCTGATAGGCAGACTCCCAGATTCAGGCAGCAGTTCCAAGGCAAGCGGCCCTTTCGGGGGAACAGCAGGCCGTTCCGCCGCTCCAAGTGACAACCTATCAACACCTCCCATTGGGGGCAGACTCTCCCTATTTGCCCACCAATGGGAGGTCACAACCACGGACATCTGGGTGCTCAACACCATTCGTCACGGTCTTTTCCTGGAATTTATATCCAACCCTCCAAATCGGTTCCTCTCTTGTCCATACCCCCGGAACCGAATAAGGAAAAGACTAATGAACGAAGCTGTTCAACACCTATTACACATAAAAGCCATAGAACTGGTACCACTGGACCAGAGAGGTCAGGGATTCTACTCCATCCTCTTCATAGTCCCCAAAGCTTCAGGGGGATGGAGGGCAATTCTAGACCTCAAGAGCCTAAACCTTCATCTTGCATATCGCAAATTCAAAATGCAAACGTTACGATCCATCTTGGGAAGTGTAAGGAGAGGGGACTTCCTAACGTCCATCGACCTCACAGAGGCGTATCTCCACATTCCTATTTCTCTGGCCCACCGCACGGTTCGCATACAAGGGGCGCCACTTCCAATACAGAGCGCTCCCATTTGGTCTATCATCGGCACCAAGGGTATTTACCAAGATCCTGGCGGTTCTAGCAGCTCATCTAAGAATGGTGCCTGTCAGAGTCCAATGCTATCTGGACGACATCCTAATCCAGTCATCGTCCACACGGTCGGCCATGTCGGACATCGATCTGGTGCTAAAGCT